GGGGGGGGGGGTAAGGAAGAGAGGTAGTATCTGATTTTGGGAGATATGTTGTGGAGTAAAACCGATGTCAGGGCCCTAAGAATCCAATAGGCCTCAGCAGCCCTCACTAGCCTTGTCCTACCCTTGCTGCTCCCTAAGGGCAGGTGAGCTGGGAGCAGAGCATGGCCAAAACACAGTCCAGGAAACAACATCATCAACAGGTGCAATTCCACAGCGCCAGAGGCAGGTGAGGAGGGCAGGGTGGTGACAGCAAACAGGTCCTGCCAAAGGCAATGCAACAGGCCAGGTCTAAGGTCCATCCAGGAAATCCAAGCAGCAACTCAGGACCAGGGTTAGGAGAAAATGCACCTCTGATGCAGCTCAGCAGGGAACGAGGGCCCAGCTTGGGAGTGAGTGGAGGCCCCAGGTGAGGCTGGTCAGGGCAATTAAAGTCAGTAAGTGCTCTCAGGGCCCTGACAGCTGATGGATATAGGAAGATTTTGGAATGAAAAGACGGATGCTAGGTTTATCAGGTGTAACAGAGGAGGGTTAACACATCAATAAACCTTTCTGAGAAGAGATAAGGACAGCTATTGAAGAAATGTTTTAAATAAAAAAAAATTAGGATAGAACTTAATATGTTGGAATGTGTTCCTGTCTTTGTCATTAATTTATATTAAGCTAGGTACTGTGGTTTAGCAAATTACTGCTCCTTTGTAGCTGGGGTGCAATAACTCACCATGTGCATGCTATTTTTCTGCCCAAATTGCAAAATAAACTCACCATTACGGTGAGTTAAGTTCACGCATTCATTTTGCAGTTAGCTCAGGTTTACAGTGTTTGTACCTCAGCTGTGACCTTGCTTTCAGCCATCCACTCATAGCTTGAAGTAAGGCACTCTAAAGAAAATGCTCCATGCATCAGCAGCCAATTGTACTGTCGTTATTTGTTCTCTCAAACTTCAGCAGAGTAAAATATGTATTTAGAAAAATGAAGCGGAGTAGTCTTAGTCTTTCTAACCCTCGTGTAAGAGAGAAACCGTAGTACAGGCCCCATGGTACTGTGTGTTAAATTCTTATATCGAGGTTTACTATGATAATTAACGTCTATGTAGAGGAAAATTTACTCCTCCAGTCAACGGGTGTCTGTTTTGTGGTATATTCTAAAACCTGCTCAATGATTCTTGTCTGTGCTTTAAGGAAGTCACAATTTAAACAAAGCATGGAGCTTGTTAGGAGTATTGCATATTAGGTAACAGTAAACCCACACTGCTCAAGAAAAAAAAAAAGCAAACTGGCTGACCTCTTCTTACTCTTAAGAAGTGTTTTGGACTAATTTCATGTTGATGTGTTCCAGCTTCTGTCTTATCAAAGCACTGTTCAAAGTGAGGAGAGCTTGCTGCTCTTCTCCTTCCAAAATGTAGTAGGCCTGATTGCAAAACAGCACAGTACTTCCAATTTCAAGGAGAATTTAGCATGCTCAGCAGTTTGTAAAACCAGGCCTAATCTCACTAGCCTGTCAAATGGAATCTGTCCTCCAGTTTACTTATTCAAAAAAGTCCAAGAGTGATGGCCTGTCAAGAGGGAGCCCTTCTTACACTTCATCACTTTTAGTACTCCTTGTGGAAGATGTTAAATACAGTGCTGTTTGCAAGAAGGGTTGATACAGCTACCTGGTTGTTGTAAACATGCTCAGAAAGGAGAAAGGATTATAAATACAAGAAAGATTTCATGCCAACAGGAGCCACAGCTGTCTTAAAATACTATATGTCCCGGATCATGGAACAGCAGGTTTTACATTTGATTCTTTTGACTTTTAATTGCATGAGTGCTGAATTTCACTTCTGTAGGATCCTGTTCTACTCATTTGCTTTCTAGAATAAAGAAATTTTAGAAATCACTGGAATGGCTGTCGGAACATGAGGACTGCCAGAAGGCCAGAGATTAAAAGAACGCAGTATGGAGCAGGTATGTGTGATTCCAGCGTGGTATTTTTAATGTATCACTGAAAGTCAGTGTCCTCTGCAGTTTGCACTCCCAGCATCATGCTGTCTAGGGAACAGAAGAACAAAATTCCTGCAAATAATTTTGTAGTGACTAAGATGTGCATTGGAGTTTTCACTGAAAAACGGAGGATACGTTCCATTTGCAAATTGAATTAGGTTTGCTAGGGTGATTTTAACCTAAAGAGGAAAGGGGATGCCATCCATTACCTCATACTAATTTGCGCTTGCTATTTTACTCAGAAGTTTTGTAGAGCATAGGTGGAATTTTTCCTGTGAGCGCTTATTCTCTGATCCATGAGAACTACTGGTCATTTAGACTCTTGGTGTCTGTAGAATGAGATACTTGAAGCTGATGCCTGCAGTTCAAAGGCAGTTAAAGATCAGGTAATCCCAATTTCATATCATACCTTGTTCCTGGCCATTCATTCCTGCCCCTGCCCTTCTGCTTCTACAGATGCTTGTACAACTACACAGTGATTCAGTTCATAGAGCTGATCTGAGAAAGCAGTAGTTTATTTGGTGTTGGATCTGTTCCCTGAGTTGCACAAGCATGAAGATTAGCACAAAGAAGGAGACAGGATCCTAGCACCGTGGACTTAGATTGGCTTAAATGCTGGGGAACTGCACCTATGTCTGCCTGTTTGTGCCATTAGTAGCTGGGATTGCATTTGCCAAGCCACGTGGCTCAGGCAGCTGTGTGGCCTAGCCTGTGAGGCAGAGCTTGTGCAAGCCAGTCCCCAGTTGGGCTTGAGAGTCTGTTTATTTGCTGCGCCAGTTGTTTCACTCCAGGGCATATATGTGTACTGGGAAGATACCAGGGAAATTCAAGAAACAGGGACTCAAACTAACATAAAGTAGTCAAAGACCCAAGAGACGGAGGTTAGGAGGGGGCTAAAATGGAAGATAAGTTCCTGTAAGAGCTAGCTCCCATCTGTGCTGTATATGGCATAATTTATATTCTGATATTTTCTTCCCATGACAACATCTGGGCAAGAAACTGAAGATGGCATGAGTGCAAGATGTTTTCTGTTAAGTGAGAAATGATGTCTGCCTCCTCCCTTCTCCTTAGTCTTTACGTTGTTATGTTTCTGGCTTCCGATGGTTCAGTTTTTGAGCTCTGTCTCTCTGTATTCAGCTCAGCTTGCCAGAGTTTGCCCTGAAAGCTTCATAATGATATTATTCAGGAGTAAGAAAATGCATGAACATAAGCTAGTCAGTTCACATCTTGGTTTCTGAAAACTACTGCCCTCAGTTTATCCTTGAGTCTAAAGACTAACTTGCAACTGTCACAGTAAAACTTTGCCAACTCCTCAAATGCTTGGGCTGCAAAAACTGTATCAAATAATGCAGCAATCATTAAAAAATATAAACCAGTGGAAAGATAAGTAAATTTGTTAGCCTGGAAAGTCTGATATTCTTTGGAGGAAAAAAATGCCAGTGACTGGCTAGTTAAAAATATGACTCTGCCTTCCCTTTACCTTGTATTTTGTGTGCAGATTGATTCTACTTTTGACCTGTGATACTGTGCTGTAATGGACCACATGAGGTATAAGAGAGCAATTAGGCCTCTCCACACTAAATTAACATTTTCAGTTGATAGCTCAGTATATTTTAGTACTTTTTACATGTTTATGAATTTGCAAAATGAATACTTAGTCTTACTTCTCTTTCTAGTTGGCTACATAAAAATTTGAACTGAAAAGAAAGTTCACTTCCTTTTCTTCGCTCAATTAAATGTGGTGTTTTCTCTGTGATAGATGACTTTTCCTTCATATTAGCATGATTCAGAGATTCTTGGGCTGCAAAAATAACTGAAGAACATTTGTTAGGCAAATCTAAATAGTATACTTTGAAATAATTCATGACAGCTTTTCTATATCAGTTGAATTGTCACTTTGGGGGCTTGTCATTTGGCAGTGAGTGAGGATTGTCAGATAGCCTACACATACAGGAAAGCTCAGACTAACTGGAGACAGTGAAGGATGTTAGACCACCTTTTCCTTAGGGCTGGCTAGCAGAAGGCAGGTGCTGAAGAAGCACAGAGGAACTGCGTCCACCGACTACGTCTTCCACGTTTGGGGTGGGAGGGGAGGCAGTGGCTTAGCTAGAATGAGTGTTATATCAGTCAATGATCTGACAACTTTCATGGATTCATTTTGAATTTTTGCAATATTTGATGGTGTGCCTTAAAGCTCCATATTCTGAAATTATATGTTCATGATTTTTAAGTCCTTCTGCTTGTGGAGAGGAGATTGAGAACATGACTGAGTGAAATCGTAAGGGTCTGAAGACTAACACATCAAGAATATTTATTATAGAACTATATATCTTTTTATCACTCTAATTTTCTATATATTTAAACAATGTCATGATTCTCAGGGCTTAGTAATTCCTGGAAAGAAAGTTCTGCTCATCTTTGCTCTGCCCGTGAAGCACACGGTCACCTTTACACTAGGACATAGCACATACTGTATTTCAGTCCTTATTAAAAGTAGTGCTGCTCAGCTGATTTATACTAGCTGGTGAACTGGATCTTGACTGATGCTTCATGCCTCTGCTAGGTTTCTGTCAAGAACGAAATACTTGCATTAAAGAAAGAGAAAATGGGCTTCTTATCAAACACAAGTTCCCAAAGCCAGTGATTTCCAGTCAGTATTGGAGACATTTGGGAGATTGTAAAGGGAATAATTTGAAGAACAGTTGAAATACAGGCCTCTGTTCGGGACTAGGAGGGAGTCTAAGGTCTATCACAAGGAGAGATAGCATGGCCGTGAAGGCTCGATATAGCTGATGTCTCCTGGCAACCGGTCCCCTCAGCTCTCCAGGGAACCTCAGCCTGTGACAGCCTGGCACCCCTCCTTGCAGTCTGAGAGAAACACACACTGCTATTCCTGCCTACTACCTACCAGCAAACACCTCCACAGCAATCCACTGTGTGAATGCCCTGTTATTTTGTATTCCTGCATAATCTATCTGACAAACAAATCTATTAAAAATTCGTTTTCATCCAGGCAAATCAGACTCCCTGAAATCCATGATCTTTGTTCTCTGAAGGCTGCTTGCGCTGGTGTATATGTAATCAAATCCTGAGGTGGCCCTGCATGCATTTTTACAAGCACTGAGATATACTTCATGTTTCAAATATTCTTTTTGATGTGCATTTTTGAAGGAAATTAGAATATTATGTTCAAATAAACCAACAGCTTTATTTCTTCAGGCATGAGCTCTGAGTGAGCTTTTCCTTTTTTCCAGCCAGTCGCAACTGCACAGGTATGTATAAACATCTTCCCTAGCCATGCCACATAAAAATAATTAAGGAGTTGCCTATGGCCCAGTCTTAATTTCATCCGTGTCCGTGTGCCTAGTGTTTTCCAGTGGCTAGCTCATGGCAAAGTACCATATGTCGGCATTTCGAGTTATGCTTCAGAAGTCTTCAGTGACACTTCAGTCACTCCACTGATCAAGTAAAGGGATTTCAGAAGAATGTAGACTAGCTGAATATACCCTACAGTTAATGAAAAAATTCATTAGTGTTTCAAAAGAAAATAGAAAAGCATGGGTGTGGAGCGAGCGTGATCTGTAGTGTTCATGCCACTAGAGGGCTGTCCGCATACACTGCAGCAACTGGGATCTAAAGGCATCAAGTGCGCAGGCTGCTTTTTGCTGGGTCTTTTCAGCGCATCTTATTAGCATCTTTACATTTACAGTGCCTGTTTTTAATTCTCAAGCTGCCTGTCAAAACACAAGTGAAATGCTGAAAGCATGAGAGATTCGTTTCACAGCAGATCAACAGAGAGAGCCAACACAGGTCAGCACAAAGCCTTGAAGATCAGACTGTTTTGTGTGCTGAGTTCGCCTGTTTCCAGCAAATCTTGTTCAAAGGATCTGGATCCTCTGCATCATTCCCAAGCCTTTGCAACTGCAGCGGAGGTGCTAATGGCATTGACAGAGTCATGATTCATTTATATCTCTCTTTTGTTTCTGCTTTCACTATCAGCTTATTATCTACAGGTAGTCTAGTTCCCATTAGACATTAGGGATCAAAGTGGCCAGTAGGTAACTTGTTAAAACTGTTGACCTTAAACTGGAGATTCTTAAATAGCTCTGTTTGGGTCAGCAGTTTTTTATTTGCATGTTTATATAGCAGTGAATCATACTGAGAAGAATTAATACCAGAAACGTATTTGTTTCCACGCATTTCCTGTTTATAGCCTTTTTTCACCACCAGAAATACTGAAAATATTTTATGTAGAGGCAAACCAGAATATTATGCAGTGAATTTCACAAAGATGTGAAGATAAAAAATTGTTGTGGCTTTTATTTTTTAATATCTTAAGGATGTGTGCAAAGAGAGGTATAACAGAAATACCCATTCATTTTTACAGTTCATTGGGTAAGTGTTACGTATGTTTGTGCCTGTACACTTCACAAATACAAACTCTTACTTAAGTATCAGCATATGATGGTGAATTTTCCCTCAGGATTTCTTGCATCATAATTCTAGGATAACATTCAACCTTTCAAAATAAATAATCTTGCTAGAACTTGCTTAGAAATATTGGACCAGATTCATCCCAGGTGTAATTTAACTGACTTAGATCTAAAACAGAACTCAGTGTTACATGTGGGAGAGTCATTTCTGCTGGATGCGCTAATGTCAAAACAAGACTGTTTTGCATTATCTTGTCCCTAGAGAAAACATTACTGAACTCACCATAGTCCTGCTTGCTTCAGCCTGTAGCATACTTATGCACGGCCACCTGTACTTCCACCTACCGTAACACTGCTTCCACAGTAACATTGCTTCTCCCTTTTCTCCCTGCCTGATGAAACTGAGAGATGCTCAGATCCTAAATGTGACTGTTCATTTATTTAAGGCTTTGTATAGCAATATTTTCTGTTAGTGCCACACTGCAAAGCATTGCTCTTATCATTTTGCCATATTAAAACAATGATTCATGGTTAAAGAAATCAGTCCAAATCAAGGGACTTGGTTTTGGTTTGTCTGATTTTTAGATGTGTCACAGATTGGACTGACAGCTGAGGGTAGCCTGAGATCTTCAGTCAATCCATAAGTGAGATGCAACGTACTTGGCAAAAGCACTGACAGGTCAGCTTTTCTCTGTGGGGCTTGGGAGGTGGAACTACAAAGGCTGACAGAATTCTTCATTCTTTGCAATGCCATCCATTTCTAATCCTTTCGGTAATGGCATTGAGCTTTGCCTGGAGATTTTGGCAATTTGCCAGCAGGAATCGGAATGAGGATGCTTACAGGCTACTGAGCAACTTTTATATGCAGCAGCATCAGGTCACTATGAGACAGTGCTGAATTTGACCAAATACCTTTGCCATGAAGCAAATAATGCTTCTTTCTCTTCCTTATCAAAGTTTTGCGTCCATGCAAGTGCTGAACAGGGCAAAGGAGGAGATATAATTGCCTGGCAGTGCCCACAGTTGTTACGGTGGCACTTCTGGCATAACTAGTAAAATACATTAATTTTTCTGAATGTAACGAGCTTTGATGTTGAAGAAAGACTCATGTCTAAGATCAAAAGGAAACCTCCTCTGAAGTAGACAGTGTCCCATTTCCCTCTAGGGCCTTACAGTTCTGTCTTGATAGGCAAAGTCATTCCATTTGGATTCTCTGAACCTGGAATTTTAATAGTTTTTTTTTTTTTGTTAGGAGGCAGTGACTTGATGAGGATTCAAGTGAAATCTTCACTGATTCAGAGGTTAGTATTGTGCAAGGTACTTCTGGGATATAGTGCAGGTCTCTTACTGTTTTCTGTTTATGAACAACCTACCCTGAGGTGCTAATTAGCTAGAAGAATTGCATATACACAGAATACTGTTTTGTTTGTACATGCAAATACATTTGTGATCGAGGTAAATTTAACTGCTTAGCCTAATTACGAGTATCCTGGATTTCTGAGAACAGCAAGGTAATAGCAAAAAATTATCAAACAGATACTTTTCATCTAAAAATTAGTTGCAAATATTTGGTTAAATCTCTATAAGAGCGGTCCTGATTAATGATTTGTTACACGCAATAAAACCATTTCAGTACTATTATATTTTCCACAAACTCTAGCCATATATTACTTGTACTAAATTACATCTGTCTTTGATGGTTGGTACTTCTCCTCTATGACTGTAGTCAGCTATTTTCTTGGCCTGACTCCATACAGTATAGGCTGGAACAAATTCTTTTGTGTGTCTTGCTTTGACATACAGATATGATTTGTGCCATGTCAAGTATTTCTTTCCTGAATTCAGCTCAAGGACGCCTGAATAAGGAGCACGAGGCAAACTCTGGCTGGCCATAGTCTGTTGCTTCTGAGAGTAGGCAATGCAAATGCAGCTGATACTAAATTTTCTTTGGGGCATTTTATTTTTCTCAGAGGAAGAAGGTTTCCATCAGACATTTCAGATGGATCAAGTCTTGAAGAGACTTGTGGGTACTTAGGTAATAATGGTGCATCAGTTCTGAACTGAATGCTGTGCTTCAGAAGTGGCTGCAATAGGAGGAATCAGCATCGTCTCCATGGGTTTATGTAACACAAATGAACACCAATTACAGTGCATTTTTTCCACTGGGACTTAGCCCATCATTTTGTCTAATTATGGTATGAATCCCACAATGGAGAAAGCCTATCTTCTCTAAAGAACTAATTCCCTCTAGAAATGCTAAAAATCTTAAAGAACTCTAATTATAATACATTTCTCAATAGATAAAGAGAGCCAGAGAGAGCATGTGCCAGCCACTTACCACAGAAAAACATAGAAAAAGATAAAAGACTATCCCAGGGGACAAAGTGGGGATATGAAGCAGTTTATACACACTCCTCTCATTCTTGATTTAGGCTCTTAGTAAATATAATGCCTTTTCTCTACCTGGAAGTTCTACTGTCAGTTGAGGGTTGATAAATTTATTGACGCATATATACTAAAGGAATAATGTTGGATAGAGAGGTGGGAAGCAAATGGCTGAAAACAAGTTCCACTACACTCCTATGAAATTCTGAGATCCTCAAAACTAGTGTGGGTACCCAGACCACTCAGGCATGCAATTAACTGTGTATAGTAGTAACTCTCACTAAACATGTTATACCATGGAACTGGTTGCCTGTGACAGAAATGGGAAAAACCTCAGATTTCCTCACTCCCAGTCCTGTTCTTCAGACCAGCTTCCGGCACAGATTTGACTGGTTTTCTGAAAACCTGAGGTAGTGCGTTAAGTTGCAAAGCTTTGCTGAGAGTTGTTCAGAAGACTTGAACAGCAAAGAAGGCAGCAGAGAGAAGAGCTGCAAGGCTTCTTCAGCACAGCAGAGGATGGTTATAGATGAGAAAGGTAAAGAATAGGCTACAATCACGCAGAGATTAAATAACAACATGTATGCATGTTGCTAGGTATCAGTTAATGTTTTCTGATATTCTATTCTGAGTTTTTAAGCCTGCAGCATTTAGTAAAGAGGCAGTGTTTAACACTGAAATTGCCGAAAACTTGCCTTGCCCAGCTTTCTGGTGAAATGGAGTCCAAAATCTTATTTTCACTCACCAGAAGGGTCTCTCAAACTTGGTAACACTGAATGAAAGATCTTTCTCACTCACTTATGGGAAAGAATAAGCAGCCTTCCCAAGAGGAGGACTGCATGCTGCATTTATTTACAGATTTGTCTACTAGAAAAAAAAAAGATGATTACTTCAGTAAGATGATACCTGGGGAAGTGAAAACCCAGTATAGCTGAGTCTAATCACCTGAGAGACAGACAACAGCTCTCATTGCTCCCTGGCCATGGAGGTGTTTGTTTGCCATGTTTGTCTCTCCTTGAGGGGGACAGATGAGAGAATTTATACTCACACAAAGACAGAGTCTCCAGAACACAGACAAAACCAAGTAACTCACAGTAATTCCCAAGTCAAATCATATGGTAATAGACAAGGGAAAACTGGTTGGCTTCTCCTCATTTTACCTTTAAATTACATTCAAAGATAATGTGATTTTATTTAGATAGCTTCTTGGTGTTAATTTCCCATGTCCTTTCTTAAGTCATTGACGTCATACACAAACATAAATGAAAGGAGAAGCACACACCCAGAGAGAAACTGGATGCCGCTACGTTTGCTGTAGCTGACCTCACCACAACTGCTTGTTGAAAGAGACTTTTCCAAAGCAGGTTGTATTTGGAAAAAATAATCTCATTTTGGTTTGGCTATTGCTGGATTCCCAGAGTGTATTGCCTGCTGTGAGAGAAGTCACATTCTCTGAAAGCAGCAAGCAAGAAATGACTAGGCTCTGCAACCACATCCCATTCCCAGCTGGGCTAACTCTCCCTTGTCCCTTTAGAAGAGACATATGAGGGTTTGTGCAGTTAGTTATGTTGACTCAAATGTCAGGTGTGGCCCAAGTAGCTAAAATTCAAGCTACCACAGGCACTGGACCGGGAAGACCAGCCCCCTCAGCAAGAGAGCAGTTGATTCTGCCATGTCTGTTCAGGCTTTGTCTCTGAGACTGCCACTTACCAGTGGCATTTTATTTCTTTGGGAAGGCAATGATTCTGTGAGTGATGCTAGTGTAACATGGACTTCTTGTAATCAGATGGTTTGCTGACATTTTCATTGCCTGTGATAATTCCAGCACATATGCAACACCTTTCTTTCAACTTCCAAGTCTCTTAAAAACACTAACATCATACCTTAATGTCATTTTGCTGTCATGTAAATGAGCTATTGCAATTGTAGTTTGACATATATTAACTTTAAGCTGGCTATATATTATTATGGGAAAGTATGCACCTGTTTTGAAATTCAAAACTAGGCATGCACTAACAGAGTTCTGATTTGGTCCTCCTCTTGGTCCTGTATTTCTTTGGAGCGGATAACAAGTCTGACAGATAACAAGTGCATCTGGGCTCCAGATTTGTCTTTTTACATTAAATGAACATCCCTGGTACTCTACTGTGATTGATTCCTGTGATTTAGTGTGTGGCTCTTCTACTTGTTCTTGGATTCTGAGCTGAGCAGTTTCATGAGTAAAGCATACAGTCAGAGAAAACTACAGCCACACATCTGTGAGCAGATCTGCCCACAACAGACTTTCCTGTGCCTTGCATGCTTACTGCATGGATCACTATTCTCTGTTTCATGGATACTTCTGTGCCTGCATAAACAGGACACACTGACCTAAAGTTTTAATTTTAAGTATCTACTGTGTGTATTACTAAGCCCACTGCTCCTGAGATGTGAGACATTTCTGTAATTTCAAGTTTCCTCAGCAGGAAAAAAAAGAAGCAATGATGCTGAACTAACCAGTACTCATAAAACGTAAAGGCTTATTCAAGTCTTTATGTGGCAGGAATGGTACTAAATTTAAAGATGTTGCCTATAAGTATTATATCTGAACTGTGGCTGGCTCGTGGATGTGGAAGGTAGCTTTTCAGAGAAGGTTTTTCTAAACAGCCCACCATGAATCCCTGTAAGCCAGTCTGGGAAAGATTTCGAGAAGGGATCTGGTCCATCCTACTACCTTAAAGCATGATAAGCTCTTCCTAATCTCTTTGTTATTGCTGTTGTCCAGCATAGACAGTGAAAACAATGAATTTCCATAAAAGCAGAATCCATTTGGAGATGTTTTTAGAATTCTAAGCCAGGCAAAATTAATTGGAAAAGTTGAAATAACACAAAAACTCATCCAGGCTAAGCATACACCCAGTCTGTCAGCATATCTTTCCCAAATTGCTTTGCAGCAAATTACCTTGAAAATTATTATTCAGCCTGATACCAGCTGAGCTGGGGTGGAGCAGTCTGAGCAGGGTGGTAAGCAGGACAGTGCGGCAGTGGTGTATCTGGTAGCGAATCGATGGATAATCGCAAGCAAAAGTCAAACAAAGAAAAAGCACCATCAGCATTCTGGTTCCAGTTGCTTCTTTCTTGCAGGGTAGCTTGCAGATGTGCACGTGGTGAATCTGCTCTGCTATATTTGTCTGTCAGCTGACCCTTCAGTGGCAGTTATGCCACATAACAATAAACAGCTCTGAAATTCAGAGTGTAATGTAGCACTGTATTAGCCAAAACAAGGTGCATTCAGAATGCTTCTTTCCTTCCTCTCTTTTGTTGGACGCATTCACCAACAGCATGTCACATTTCTTGCCCAGTATGTGCCAACATGAAGTAAGTGCAAACTAGTATATTGTTGTCACTTCGACTCCACATGTTCACAGGGTCAGTGCCTACAGGGCTGCTCAGAGCTCTTCTGAGCTGTGGAAGCATGAAAAATTTGTGAGCAACAGCAAACCCACATCAGTTTGATTCTGCTGTGCCAAATTGTAAGGTTTGCCAGTGAGTGTATTGCGGCAATCCCACACTAGCCCAGATGTGAGCTTCCTGGGCCATTTCATGCTAGTCGTGCCATGGCTTTTTGGACAGATTCCTGGTACAATGCTGCTCATTAACTGCAATGGACATAAATTAGTTTGAATAAGGGTTGTTAAGGCATAAGGACTAAAGGGGAGATCTTCCTTGTAGGATTTGTTTCAGCAGTTGGCATCCAGGTCTGTGTCTTTCAAGTTAATAATACAGCCTTACACAACCTTAATAGATCCACCTTCAGCTCCTCTGTGTACCACAGTACTGCAGTCACCCATATGTGCCTTCTGGGCAGGGACAGGATTCTCATTTGACGTGTAAAGGACATGGGAAGAATAGTGGGAAGGTGTTGGAGGATGCCAAGGCC